GGCAGATGACATGAACGCCAGTAGCTCAAAACCCTCTCTCAATACAGCAGCTACCAGCATGAAGTCTTCTTACAAGAATATGTCAGCAGAGAGAACCTTCTGCCTTTCTACCTAGGCTGCTAACTCATTTCCAACAGAGCTATTCAACTTGGTGAAAAAGCTAATCAAACTAGACAGTAGATCCAATTGCCAACCTTTGCAAAGAGCTTTCATCCTACTTTGCAGAAACAATCAGCCATACATGGGAGAACTCAGTAAGGCAGTGACTCAAATCTGGGGCTAATGGCTTTATCCACGCCACCACCCCTGACGGTGTGTGGCCTTGTAACGCATGCTGAAATAGTAGTAGCCCTTTGTTTCCTGGAGCCATTGCTTATAAATCAGATCTGTGCCCCTCCCATATGGTGAAATTAACAAAGAACAGCTATGTCTACTGCTAACTGAAATCTCTGATGCCTCCTTCAGAGAAGCAAGTCTGTTAATCTCCCTGAGATACGCGGTTGTCCATGTGATCCTCAAAAAGCCAACACTTGATACAGATGTCTTCCCTTACTACTGACCCACCTCTAATCTCCCTTTCCTAGGCACAATAATTGAGAAACAACCAAGCTCCATCAGCATGTGGCTTCTGCCAGCCCCTTGGATGCTTTGCAACCATGCTTCAGACCAAGATATGGCCCAGAGCCTGTATCCCAATATCGCATTCCTTGCATGGAAAGAACTTCCTCCTCTTATCAGAACTCCTGTCGGTCTAGTTCCTCGTGCAGTGGGCTGAAAACGTACTCCTTGGCAATTCCCAATTCACATGACCCATCACAGAGCTCTTGTAGAGCTAATTCTTCAGAAACCACCTCTTGCCTTCAACCCTGTTGTTGCAGGTAAGATCTAGGATGCTTTTTGGGCTGCTGCTGTTAAACTCAGCTTTCCTGACAGTCCAGGAATCTCAGTTGAGAGCTTCTGTTTCGGTCCACTAGAGAATGAGTTTGTCACACTTCAATACAAGCTACATCTACGTCGTTCAGTGTTTGTTTGCGGAGTCTAGCGGTTTTACATTTATTTTTCTATTAACACTTCAGGGACAATATATGCCCCTTAGAGTGTGGTGAAGTGCTTACATTCCTCCTAAAATGATGCTTGTTTATGGATTCTGCTTCTATTAAAATAAGTGCCTGAGGGATTAGAGATTAGAACTAGATTTAGAGCAACACAAACATGATAAAGACTGGAAAACATAAAGTAAAATAGGGGGAAGGTACTGCAATAATAAGGCAAAATGTCCTTAGGATAGGACATCTCTGTTTTCAATTGAGATGATTTTGAGGTGCAAAGGTCCAATTCAAAATGTTCTAAAGTTTGGGGATGTTCAGGCTTGATATTTAACTTTTTAAAAAATTATGGAAAATGGATTTTAAAAGCCAGCTGCAGAGGCAAACACAGATGGCAGCAAATAACTGCTCTGTGAATTGGAGATGTTAAATAAAACACACCCACTGGGAAAGGGCGTTAAACCAACTTGAGGGGAAACAAGTGATAACAATTGTACTTATGGCAGTCAAGACAAGTAAATAAAATGAAACTCTGGCATACAAGAAAAGGCAGATCAAATCTAATTAAATATGTAACCCATTTGAAAGAAGAACTGACAAAACAGAACTGTATTAGGTGTGATCAATATGTAAATAACTATAATCATTTGCCTCGCTAGTTCAGGTGTACCTGTTCACTCACCCTCCGTCCATCTAGCCTTGTGTATATTGTGACAGACCCAGACCAGTGGGGTACAGGAGTCTGGTAGAGGGCAAATATACTAGAATCAATTAAGGCAGGCTAATCAGGGCACCTGGATTTTAAAAGGAGCTCACTTCAGTTTGTGGTGGGACTGTGAGGAGCTGGGAGCAGGAGGCGCAAGGAGCTGAGAGTGTGTGCTGCTGGAGGACTGAGGAGCACAAGCGTTATCAGACACCAGGAGGAAGGTCCTGTGGTGAGAATAAGGAAGGTGTTTGGAGGAGGCCATGGGGAAGTAGCCCAGGGAGTTGTAACTGTCACACATCTGTAATTTTCACTCCATGCATCTGAAGTGAGGTTTTTTACCCACGAAAGCTTATGCCCAAATAAATCTGTTAGTCTTTAAGGTGCCACCGGACTAACACGGCTACCCCCTGATACTTGATTAGGTGCTTATCTGCCTCTTTAGGCAGCTGCTACCTTTGAAAAGCTATCCCCTGGCGTTTTCCTCTGCGGTAGTTGCTCTCAATCCAGGGCCAGAGCAGAACATTGTTTTAATTGTTGCCAAATGTGTCTGCAACACAGCAGATCTGGAACAGAATACCACGAACAACAAGTAAGCTGGGTCTGTACAATACCATTTTGCCATGGTCAGGCGGCAGTCACGTCCGCTGACCTGGGGCAGAACATGGTCAGTAGACAGTTTAGACCAAGATAAATCATACGGATTCCAGACCAGCTAAAATGTTTGTGGGTAACCGTGTTTGGCTATGGCAGAACTGCAAAGTATAGACTAGACTGGGGGAGTTCAGTAGAATGAAGAAGCAGCAGTGGGATTGTAGGAGATGGATTAAGTTGTTGGTTTTATCAGATCTGCTTGGGAGTTCTGCAGACTGTAAACTAGGTGATTTTTAACCTGGTTCTATTTCCCTCCTCCCCACCAAACATCCCCCTCCCCATGCATTTACAGCTTCCAAAAAGCCTGTGTGAGCTCATGCCTGTAAATTTACTGCCTGAAGCAGGTGATGCAGGTCCAGATTCACAAAGGTCTTTAGGCACCTAACTTCCATTGCGGCAGCAACTGGGATGTGGGCATTTGTGCCTAGGGATTGAAGCCAGAGTCATGCCTAGTGGTTTGGAGCCAAAGTTGGTAGCCAGTAATAGGAGCCCAGGGTCAGACCTAGTCAGAGGCTGGGTGCCACAGCCGGAGGTGAAACTCTGAAACTGGAGCCGAGGGTCAGAGTCAGAACTGATGTTAGGGATTGGAGCTGAGAGTCTGGACCAGGTTAGCTAGAGTGAGGCAAGGCTGGGGCTAAGGCAAGAGCTATCACAGCTGTGGCCAAATGCTTTGAGCAGATACCAGTGGGAGCTGCGATCGACCGAACCTGTGGACGTGGCAAGTAAACAAACCGGCCTGGCTCGCCAGGGTGCTTATCCTGGCGGGCTGCGTACCAAAGGTTGCCAATCCCTGGTATATACCCTGTAGGTTATTCTGGCTCCCTGAGCAATATAAGCCATACTGGCAAAAGCACCTTTATATTAGTTGAACAACATCTATACTAGGTCTTTTGCTGGTATAGAAACATTGCCAAAAAAATAAATCCTCTCCCTAACTGTACCGGCAAAAGTGTCTAGTGTAGACCTGGCCTTAGGGGCCAGGTGATGTCAGTGGTCCAAGTTCACAGTGAAAGACAGTGATGCAGCAGTAAAGTCCTTAATCCTGTATGCATGTGAGTTAGTGACACTGACTTAAATGGGCCTAACCCACTTTGATTTCAGTGGGACTACTTGCATGCTAATATGTTAAGCATGTATGTAACTGGCCCATAGCCAGCAAAGCAGAGCATGGCCTTTGCCAAAGCTTCACCCTTATCTCAGGGCTTACCTAAATTCAGACCCAGCAGCCAGCCAGGAGCTCTTCCTTGCTCCCCCAGTCCCTGTCAGCACTGAGCTGTCCAGGGTACTGCAATTCCCTTTAGCCAGCCAGGAGCACCACTGCACTCCTCTAGCTCCAGCAAGGAACTGACTGTCTCTAGCTTTGCAGCTCCTTTTATATGGTCCTCCTGGGCCCTGATTGGCTGCTTCTCCTGCAGTCTCTCTGATTGGCTGCTTGGAGGACTCCTCTACTGCTCCTTTCCTGGCATAGCTGTGGCAGGACACTGAGGCCTCCAGCAAAGGCCTGATCTCCCCCATACCCCCCCCCCATCACACTGCTACCCTAGTCCAGTGCAGGCACTTTCCAAGCCAGCTTTCTCTAGCGGCTCTGCCAATATGCATGACTGCTTTTAATTTTTAAAAGGGGGGGGTAATTTAATTTAAAGACTTCCAGGCTAAATTTTATTTTAACAAGGTGCAGTTGTATGCCTCCCTGTCCCCCTCTCATCCCGCTCCATTCTTATTTCCTGTGGCTTAGAGCCCAGCCCTGTCTTTGTTTGTCACGGAAGGTGTTTAACGTTTTTAAAACAAGACCGGAGGGTGGGGAGGGGGGAATCTGCCATTCCCTAGCACTTAGCCCCCTTCAAGAGACGCCAAAGCAGCAGGCTATTGCACAGCATGTGCAGTCACTATAACGTGCTCCTGAGTGAGCTTTTTCCCTCCTCGCCACAATATGCGCTGCGGCTTCGTGGCGATCTGGACACGGTTTTCTGGCTTTGGCCTAGCAGCTGCCTTTGAAGGCTCATTCCTGACATGGCAGCTGGTGGCCCCTTACTGCTCTACAGGAACTCCTGTCCCCTTCCATAGCATCACCCAGCTGGCTTCCTTGCTGATGGCTGGTAGCTCTCTCTAGTAAAGTCAGGACTGTGTGAACTGTTCTTTTGCGAGGGGGATAGATGGCTGATGCAGTATTAACGGCTTTGGTGCATTGCTCTCATCTCTTTGCTTTGCTTTGTTGTGTCCTCTGCCATTCTTTTCTGGGGAGAGTCTGGTGTGGGTTTTTTTTTTTCTTTAAAGACATGCTAGCGTTACTGCCATTTCTGAGCTTCCGGGATTCTTAATTATAGGCCCGATGCTGCTACCACAGAAACCAATGGCAAAGTGACAGCGTGGCTTCCTCCAGAGCCCGAGACTGCAGTGGGAGCGGGCTCAGCTGCTTCATAGAGCAGTACAGAGTCTCAGCCGGGTGACGCGGTTCTCTTTGCGGCTAGGTGGGGGAAGTCCGCGAATCAGCCCCTCTGGCTGCCAGGGACTGTTGGGTATGGGAGGTCAGAAGAAAAGGTGGAAGATTTCTCCTTCCCTAACTCACTGTGCGTGTTGCTTCCCCCCCCCCCCTACAGATTGGGAACTTGGAGAACTATTACCACTTTCACCACAGCAGGACGATAAGGCGCTCGACGCTCAGCAGTCGAGGCCGGCACAACTTCCTCCGGATGGATCCCAAGGTATGGCTGCCACTGCCCCCTCAGGAGCCAAGCTGCCATGGTCTCCTGCATCCTCTTCCTCTCTCCTCCCTTTCTCACCCCAGAGGTTGGAGGCGGTGTACAAGGCCCCGAGCACAAGGCAACACTGAAACAAGTGTTGGCCTTGTCATAGGGAGTCCCTCAGGTTTGTTGGGCAAGCTGCTGCAGAGAGGTAAGGATGCCTTATGGCTTCTTTCCCTCCCCTCCGAAAATATCCCAGGTCCAGGCCCTTGATTGTGTATTGTTTGTTTTAGAGACCTCTCCCTTTTGTGTGTATTGGGCTGGCTTGGGGTAAGGAGCATCCCCCTTTGGGTCTAAAACCAGAGGGTATGGCCCCAAGTCCATCAGTGCCCGGATGGATCATCTCTTGTCTGGGCCCCTCTTCTCCACCCTTTCCTATCCACCTGCTGGAGTGTGTGACATTGTGTAAACCCTCGTCTGTGTATTTCTTAGGTCAGTTGGGTGTGTTTCCATACAAATGGCTACACTCTGCATTATGTCCTTGTAGGGTTTTTTATTATGAAAAACTTCAGAGGCGCTTATGCAAGAACCTTTAAACCTGTGAACATCTTGCCAGAACTCAGTGTGACTGTTCTCTGAATCAGAAAGGGTTCTATGGCACATGCCCTGCAGCCTTGAGGACACTCTGTACAGATTAGCATTTAGTGCCGTAAGACACTTGTGGAAGTAACATGAACATTTGCAAAACTGTCCTTGTGCTCGGTCTTTGTCCCATGCTAAATACATTGCAAATGCTCTACACTCTCAACGATCACCCTCTTTTAATCCGTCTCTTTCAAATTTGCTCTTCAGTCCCTCCACTGTACACGCAAACAAAAGCAGCATTCTGTAAAAGCCCGATTCCACTGAGGATGTGGGGGAGTTCTGCCACCAGGCCTAAACACTATGTCATATATTTCTCATTCTAGTTAAATATAACCGTAGGATGGTGTATATAGCGCAATGAGTGGCCTTGGACTATTTGGTGCTCGATGATCAAGATCTTTGGTATGCTCTGATGTGAAGCTTGTATTTGACTGGTTTGTCTTAAAGAGCCTGGTTTCTTTATTTGCAGCATACAATTGAGCGTGATTACAGACGTATTGTAAATCCAGCATGTTATCCTTGATACCACATGCTCTGTAATTGGTGAATCATTTGACATGCAGGGTATGTTTATCAGTGATTGAAAATACTTACAAATGACTAAATATTAACATCTGCCTCAAGGAAAAAAAATTTAAAAACGGTTAAGGAAACTTTCCAATACAGAAATTGCATTGTATGCTGTGGGTGTTGACTTAGTTGTCATAACATTTGCTGTCTTAATGGTTGCTATGTATGAAATCTTTGGCTACAAGCATACGTTACTCTGTTCGAGAGCAGCCTAAGAGATTTTTATCACAGTTGAATTGCCAGAAGTCAGTGTCCAAGAAAATAAAAATTCAGAACAAATGAAATCTATGGCAGTGCGTGGGGTGTAGTTGGAATGTTACATTTTTTACTTCCTGATGCTATTCGTTTCTCCTATCAACTTTTATAAACCTTGCATTAGTCTGTGCATAAATGTAAAGAGAATTCATGGGTTTTTTTTTAATTGTATTAAAAGCTGAAATAAACACGGTTGCTCTCAATAGACATCTAATGCTATTCTTAAAAAAAAAAAAATCTAATACTCCAGCAAAGATTTCTGTATGTATTGGAGTTGACAGAAGTTTGTGGGAACTTTGTCTCACTGGACTCCAGCTCTGAGCACAGAATGAGAAGACTGCTCCTGGACAGTGTATTCTGTTTCAAGTAAGCTAAAGGGAGCAATGGCAGATCCCAGTTGGTGCTTAATGGTAGGGTGACCAGATGTCCTGTTTTTAAAGGGACAGTCCCATTTTTTGGGACTTTTTCTTAGGCGCCTATTACCCCCACCCCATCCCGTTTTTTCACAGTTGCTATCTGGTAACCCTACTTAATGGTATGTGGGTTTTTTGGTTTGTTTTTTTAAAACCTGACATCAGGCAAAACCCAGTGTGAAAAGCAAGAGTTATCACTCAGGTCCTGATCCACAGTGCACTGAAGTCAGTGGGAGTTTCCCTACGGATTTCAATGGGTTTTGGAGCAGGCCCTCTGGGACTGAAGCTATGCTGGTTTATACAGCAGAGGGACAGATTCTCATCTTGTGTAAACAGGGACAACTCTTTTTACTTCAATGGAGCTATGACCATATAAATTGGCTGAACATCTGGCCTAAGGTAGGGCAGATTGGTGTAAATGACCTATTTTTACTCTTGCATTTAGAGGGGAAAACCTGTTAAATGTGTACATTCGATGCATCTTATTTACTTCATTAATTTGTACACGTGCACTGAGCTTCATCTTAGTAAGATGGACTGTCTTTCAGTATTGGAATTAGAAGCAGTTATCAAGGTATAATATATCTTTATAGAAAGACTGGTATCCATGATGTACTGGGCCTTCCTGTAAAGGTTGAGTGTCTGTGGCAAAGCCAGCATGCCTGCTGGAGGTGAGATGCTACTGAAACAATATACTCCACTTCTTAGGCCCTGTAGGTGAGGTGTGGGAGAGAATGTTGTTTTGTGTTGTACAGGGGAGAGAGAATTGGGACTCTTGGTCTCTTTTCCCAGCTGTGCCACTGATTTGATTTGCTCTACGGCCTTGGCAAGTAACTTAACCTCTCTTTGCCTCAGTTTATACATATGTAAAATAGCTACAAAGCTTACCTACTTCATTAGCACATTGAAAGTCTTCATTAAGTTATGTAAAACTCTTTGAGACCCTCAGGTGACAGATATTAATGGACAAAGTATTACATCATTATTAAGACTTTCCTATTGACTCAGGATTACAAATTACATTGTTGGTTGTTATTTCCTTGTAAGACCTGCATGGAGGACCCACTATTACTAGTTAAACTGCTATTAAAAGGGGTTTACAGTTAAATATATAAACGTAACTCCAACACACTATTGGTAACATTCAAACATAGACTGTTGTCACAAACAGTGTTGCCAACAGAAAGGAAAAATAAACAATCCGAACATTCCAACTATTGCTGGAAATAAGATACAATTGGCTGATTGTTTCCAAGTGTTCTAATTAAACTTTATAGCCCTGGGGGATGTATACAGGCATCTGAACATATTATGAATTCAGATCTGCAATTGAAATACCTCCCTTCTAAATTAGCCTAGTTTAGTACAAACCAAATCAATTAGCTTTTAGTCTATTAATATTTGCTTTACCTAGCTCTACTGATTAATAGTCAGTTAAATTAACGTAGGTTTACAGGCATTTGTTATTACCTTGAATTCAAGATCCATCAATTTGGGGTTTTTTCTCCCATCCATTTGCAAATCATTTGGAAGTGCGTTGGCAGTTTGAATGGTGCATAATTAGTCATCATAAAATGGTAAATATTATGAAGTTGTATTACTGCAAAGCATACAGAAACAAACAGAAACATTTGCAACAGCTTGAATGGAATAGCAAAGATGGAAACAAACACAGAAGTCCTAAAGAACTAAAGAATTCAGTCATCTGCAGATGTTTTATCTGTTTTCTGTCTTCCATTCAGCTGTTTTATTTACACCGTTATTTGCATGACAGCAGCATCTTGAGGTCCCTGCAGGGGCTGGGGCTCCATTGTATTAGGCACTTTGCTATGGCATAGTAGGAAACAGTCCTTGCCCCAAAGACCTTACCATCTTAAGACAAAAAAGAGTAGGAGGGGAAGTGGGAACAACTGAGTGAAGGTCAGGAGCAGAGCTGGGAGTAGAGCTCTGGTCTCCTGACTCCCAGTTCAGTGTCCTCTCTAGACCATGCTACCCTCCCCACATGCTAGCACCATTGCAGCTCCCTTCCTTAGTCAGCCGCGGTGGGAGTGCTGGCATAGACTAGCAGCTGGTCTACAGTTGTATTCCCACCACTGCTACCGTTGGTGGGGGATTTGAAGGGAAGATGCTAGAGTAGACACTAGACATTCTCTATTGGATAAAAATGCCTTTATGGTTGTTGGAATTTGAAATCCTCTCATCGTTATTACAAATGACGCAACCAGAACTTCTCTCACCAAAGTAACTACCTGGGTGATGGCTTTCTTCACTGAAATCTCTTAGCCCAAGTATGTTTCTTTAGGGCTGTTCTGGGTCGTTGTCGGAATCTGGCCTTCCCCACCCTTATTGGCTAAGCGTTAATGGAGATCACATGTCTGCCCGAGGCTTTGTTGTCATGTCAGAAAAGGGTGAGTTCTTAACTCAAGTTAGGTCACTCAAGATAAAGGCTTTAACTCATGTGAGAACTACAAACTGCCTTCTCATTCCTAGGATTGTACTGAGTTATCTGACTTGAGTTAAATCCTTTTTTATTTCACAGTGAAGACAAGGCCTGAAGCAGCCAAGCTAAAGGGTTGGTCAGAGTTGTTCTAGGCCTCTGCTACAGTAGGAAATTGGTCCATTACTGCAGTGTATTGACTAACACTGAACACAGGCTTTGTCCCAGCCATACCAGCAGTTAGTGTGTTCAGTACTAGTTCAGGGGCATCCGTTGCTGACAGCCAGTTAAGCAATGGGTCTGTTCCCACTGTAGATGGGACTTTCCTTCAGTAAACACACCCTTGTTGAGTTTTGTGTCAAAATGGTCACCCGAAGCCTATCACTGGGATGTGGGTGGTGCCAATAATACTCAAGCACTTTACAAAGTAGGTCAGTATCAATTGTTAACACTCTTTTTGGCCCAGTCCACACTAGCTGATTTAGACCTGCCTGCACTCCCAACTTTTAATGAGGTTTGTAACCAGGTGAGGGCCATGGTTGGCCCTAAACATGCTTTGTGCCAACACAGAGCAGGGTTAAGATATGGCTGGTAACTGTGCCAGCTGAGCCTGGGTCTCCCTTCCTATTGACCTAGGCTGGCAGATGGGTGCTTTCTGGTAACTAGGTTGTAGCACTGTTTTGTAGTGTGGACGTGCGCTG